AGATAAGGAGCCAGAAGAAATATATCAATGCAGAGAAACTTGAACAACTACAGAATAAATTGCAAAAGATGGAAGAAAGAATTGAAACTATAGATAAAGAGGTACAAGAGCTTAAAAAAATCACAAGACATAGAGAGTACAGCCAACACAGTACTAGAAATAATGGAAATGCATGAAAATTCAATCCAAAATATTAAGACATAAATAGCAAACGTTCTAACATGCTAGAGGAACAAAAAAGGAGACTAGAAGTGATGGAACAGAGTCAGTGAGCTGGAAGACAAAGAACCTCAATGGGAACGTTGTTGTTGTTATGTGCCATCAAGTCTAGACGAAAAATCAGAAGTGAGACAGAAAGAAAATTAAGAAAACACTGGGATTATATGAACAGGATAACATACATATGATTGGAATTCCAAAACACTAGGGAGAAAGGGAATGTACTGAGAAAATTGTGGAAGAGCTACTAGAAGAAAACTTCCCAGGCATAACGAAGGACAAGGAAATAAACATTTAGGAAACTCAGTGAACACCAAACAGACTGGACCCCAAGAGAAAAAAAGATCAAGATATATCATAGTCAAAATCTCCAAAATCAAAGTTAAGGATAGAATACAAAATCTGTGTGAGAAAAAGAGAGTCACCTATAAAGGAAAAGCAAGTAGATTAGTTCTGATTTCTCAGCAGAAACCATGCAAGTAAGAAAACAATAGAACAGCTTATACAGAAGATTAAAAGAAAGTAATTGCCAGCAGAGAATCCTGTACCCAGCAAAGGTGTCCATCAAATATGAAGAAGAAATTAGGTCATTTCCTGGAAAGCTGGAACTTTATGAATTCATGAAAACAAGACCAACTCTACAAGAAATTCCAAGGAAAGTCCTTCACACAGAGACACTAAAGGAAGATAAATGGATCACAATTAACAAGAAACAGCTGAAAAAGAAATGCAGCAAAATGGCAACAATAAAATCTTCCTGTCAATGATCACACTTAGTGTATGGATTATATGCACCAGTCAAGAAGAAAAGACTAGCCTGCACATCTGGAAGTTCTCTGCTGGTGTACGGTTCCAGTCATTTTCGGATAATTTTCAGCAGGATTTTGCTTGCATATTATGTAAGTGATATTGCTCAATAATTTCCACACTCTGTTTTATCACTTTGGGGGGGGAATGGAAATAAATATTTCTTTCAATTAAAAAAAAGAAGAAGAAGAAGAAAAGAATAGGAGAGATGGATAAAAAAAAAAGTAAAGCCTATTAGTATGCTACTTATAAGAAACATATCTAAAAAAAAAACAAGGAAAAATCTGCACACTGACATCGCTTACTTGAGACTGGTAGAAGCCTTGGTTGTTAAATGAAGTGTGCACCAGAAGTGCTTAGAAGGCTCATTTAAATGTTGACACCTGCACCCTACAGTTTGTAAATCACTAAGTTTTTAGTAAAAATTTGCATTTCTAGCTCTGGTGGTGTTAGAAAAGGCCAAATGCTAACCAATCAAATACCCGATAGGCTCTGAGAGAGAACTACAGGGAATCCATTAAGATTTACCATCCTGGAAACCTGTTGGAAGGTGACTGCAAGTCAGAATAGACTTACGATAGTGAGTTGAACGAGGTCCCAGCTGATGCTGCTGGTTCAAGGACCACACTTTGAAAATAATTGGCATCAACAAGAATGTTATTCTATAACATTTTAGTCAGAATGCCTAGCTGACCCTTTCCCAGGTTTTCAGAGGCTGTAAACGGCACAGGAGAGCATAGCCCATCTTTCTTCCTGAAAGCAGCTGGTGGATTTGAACCACCTGCCTTTGGCTTCCTGGCTGCACAGTGGAGTCATCTGGCATCTGGGATGAGTTTTATTTTGTTGTTTGGGTTGCTGTTTTATTTATTTATTTTATTTTTTTACAAATCCATAATTTTATTTATTTGCTTTTCAATAAGTGTAAATCCTCGAGGCATCCAGCTTTACACAGCTTCTGTGCCCAATGGCCTTGGCAGGAGGGTTACTCTGAAAGTTGGCCTGTTTCCATGGCTTCGCTAGGAGTCACTGTATTGATTTTTGCTTTGTAAACATCAGCGCATCTTTTGCCTAAAGAGAAACTGTGCTTCATCTCAGGCATAAACATCTTCAATTTTAAGAGCTGTGTGCTTGAAACCTCATTCATAGCCAGCAAAGGGGCCTTGTAGCCACAGCCTCCCAGGCACCTTTGTGGTTCAGAAGTCCTGTTCCCAGGAGGTGATGGTGAGGAAAAGCCAATCTGTCTTTGTTTAATATCCCGATGCCTGGGCCTCAATCAAAGAGGCCCTGGGATGGGGGTGACTGAGGAGTCCACAGACGTGGGGAGTCCACAGACGTGGGGAGTCCACAGACAAGAGCAGTTTCTGTAGCTCCCTCGTGTTCCTAAGTCATTGTAGAATCAATGGGTAAAGAATCACCAGTCTTTGTAATGTAATGATCTTTCTGACATCTTTCCCCAACTAGGAGTCTCGCTTTTAGCAGAATGCTTTTCAAATAAATGATCTTTCCATGAGACACTGAACGACTGGATCTTGGCTCAGTTGGTTTTCTCTTTCAACAATGCTGCCCTCTAGTGTCTTTAGATATTAGAACCATATAACAGCTCGGCTGTCAGGATGGCTCTTTTCCTAACATGTAGTTAAGCAACTGATGGAATTTTTCTCTGACCTTGGAAAAGAAAAATATAGGAATGGTGAGACTTTGTATCATATATTTTTTAGTACTTTGTCAGGAGGACCCAGTCCTTGGAAAAAACCCATCATAATAGGAAAGGTGAAGGGTCATCAAAAGATGGATTGACACGGAGACATAAGGGATAGTGAATGAGGAAGGCACAGGGCAAAGTTCAGATCTGTTATTTGTAGGGTTGTTACGCGTCATAGTCGACTTGACGGTACCTAATAACAACAATTCAATTAGATTGAATTCTAATTTGAAGTAACATGACTCTCCAGAACCGTCACTTCTCACTATCCCCCACACTTCTCATGCTCATTTCTTCACTTGGTTTGTTGCTTATTGAGAAAAAATAGTTCATCAAACAAGTGCTCCCTGAATCCTTGCCATGAAGAGTTCCCCCAACATGCCTGATCCCATGGATTTTATCCTTTGCCATGTCTGTGATGTTGGCATTGAACTAGGCACCGGTATTTTTGTTTGTTTGTTTGGGGGTTTTTTTACTCATTTGTGCGTTTGTTTTTTTTTCGTACTCAAGAGCAACGGTGTGTCTCTGGAGACTAAAGTGCATCTGATAAAGGCCATGGTCTTTGCAATCACTTGTTATGCATCAGAGTTGGACAATGACTAGGGAGGATAGAAGATGAATTGACGCCTTTGAGCTGTGGTGCTGGAGAAGAGTATTGAGGGTATCATGGACTGCCAGGAAAACAAACAATGAATAAGGATGGCAGAAGAAGAATTGATGCCTTTAAACTGTGATATTGGAGAAGAGTAGTGAATATCCATGGATGGCCAAAAGCACAAACATATATATATCTTAGAAAAAAATGCAACCAACATGCTCCTTGTAGGCAAGGATGATAAAGCTTCATTTTACATATTTTGAACTTATTGCTAAGAGACTATTCCATGGACAGGGATGTCATACTCGGGAATGTAGAGGGTTGGAGAGAGAGAGGAATCCATCTTTAGCCAGATGGGTTAACACGGTGACTGCTGCAATAGGCTCTAATGTGTCACAAAGTATAAGGCTAGTTCAGGATCGGACAAGGTGTAGATCTGTTGGTCATGGAGTCTAACTGGTTCATACTCAACTCAACAGCACATAACAACAACAATTGTTGTTGTGTGCCACCGAGTTAAAACAAACCCATAGCTGTCTGTCCAGTAGGTTTTCAGAGGCAGCAAACTGCATGGAAGGGGATGGCCCAACCCGCTCCTGTGGAGACGCTGGTGGATTTAAACCGTGTGCCTTTGGGATTGCAGTGCAGCTTCTTGCCACTGGGTTACTTGTGACTAAAGAAGAAGAAAACTCCTGCCACCCACCACCTCTTGAAAGTGTCAAACGACCTGGCGTTTTGAGTGCTTAGCTGACTGACCTGCTTTACGGAACAAATGGAAGCCTTTCCGAGAATTTTCATTAAATTCTCCATATTCTCTGGTTCTGTGCCATTCTCTGCCCAGATCCACCCCTGGATTCATCTTCCTGTTCAGGAAATGTGATGTCAAACTTAGAGAAGCAGATGAGCAAGCTGGGCAGAACCCAGGCTGTCATTCCCCGGGTGTCTTCGAGGGCATGGTGTGCCGCTGTGGGCTCTCAGGCACTGTGGCGTCAGCTGTGTTCAGCATGAATATGTCTATCTTTCTGTTGTCTGCGTCGTTGTTGAACCATCTCTATTAAACAACCACGCTGTGTGAGCCCAGCTTTGCAGATCCTACTTCAAGCCACAGGCCTTCTGCCCTCGACGACCTTACATTCAAAGTCAGAATAAAAGCTTATTCTTCTCAGTTTAGTGAGTAAGCTCCCCAGCTTCTAAAAGAGGTTAACCGTGTATTCTCACAGGAGACCTGGAACCAGGAAGCAAAGTAAAAGAATTTCTGGTGGCCATGTTTCTATTATCATTTAGCCCTCTTGCTGCAAACTAAATATGCGTTATCAGTTTATGTAAGGCTGTGCCACTCTGCAAACCAACTGTATTTCAGGGCAGACTGGTTTATTATCGCTAATACTGGGGTAAGTATTAATGCAGAGAGCTGGTGTTAAATGCCAGACTGCTAATGAGAAGTTTGTTCTCACCAGCTAGCAGCTCTTCCCAAGATGCCAGTCGGGTCTGTAAAGATTTCAGTTTTGCAAACCCTACACGTTATATTGGGTCATAATGACTTGAAATCTACTTGACAGCAACAAGTATATTAATCTGGTAAAAAAGTTGCATTAAACTTCTTACTTTGGAGGAGGACCATGTAACTTTGAAAGGTTGAGAGACCATGATGTGTTTTATGTCTCCCCTTCCTAGAAATCGTCCGAGCCATGACGCACGTGATTGACCAGGGGATGGCGATGTACTGGGGCACCTCGCGGTGGAGCGCCATGGAGATCATGGTACATGCATTGCTGCTGCAGCCCCTGAGCTCCTTACGACCCATCAGCCCCTGCACACCAGTTATAAGATCGCTCACACACTTCCCTCACGACCACCAAGGCATTACAATTCTCTGGTCAATGTCACTGTGATGGAGACGGAGATCAGCATATGGTCTCAGCAGAACAAGTGCAGCTGGAGGGCTCGGGACTTTGACAGGAATCCAGTGTTAGCGTGTTCCTTGTGACAGAGGGTTAAGTGGATTTCACTGCTAATGAGATATAGATATATAAACAGAGTATTCTAGTCTTCTTAAAACATATATATTAAACACTAACCTGTTGATTTTGGAAGCAGGAGTGGCATCCACTTCCTAAACAACATGCCTCTGGAAACTCTATGAACTTTGATAAATGCTGATAGTTATAGAAAGGCTTCAGTTCATAGGGTTCCTATGAGTCTATATAATATATATGTAATATGTATTATATATATTAGGTACAGGTTATTTCTTTTTTAATTTTCTACTAGTTTATTTACAAAATTTGAATATATTGTTTTCAAGAACAAATTCTTTCCATCAAATTGTACAGCACCATGATTAATTTCCTCTGCCCCTGCACATCATCCTTCTGCTTTCAACCTCTCCCTCCCCTCTTTGGGTCCTTATACTCATTCTACAATAATGGTTTTATTCAATATTTATCCTTGTGAGACTGAGTTAGTTCACTCAGCATAATGCTCTCCTGTCCCTCCCAAGTTAGGTAATATTTTACAAAATCATTGCTCCTGTGTGCTGCATAGTATTCCACTGTGTGAATTATTTCTTAAAATTATTTCTTAAAAGAGGTACCCAAACTGATTCAGTGTAGTATACAATTAGAGAAACAATACAGAAATTATTTAGTAAAAAGATAACATGTGCAGGGACACTAGCACAAAACGTATGAAACTGCTTTGTTGATGTTGTTGTTGTTGTGTGCCGTCGAGACCCTATGTACAAGATCCTTAAACCCTGCTCTGTCCTGTGCCAACCTCACTCTCCGACACACCTACTCCCACTACCCCAATTACTCAATCGGTCCATCTCATCAAGGGTCTTCCTCTCCTGTGCTGTCCCTCCACTCTCCTAAACATGATATTTGTTCCATTCCAAAGAAAGGTGACCCAACAGAGTGAGGAAATTATCAAACAGTATCTTTAATATCACATGCAAGCAAGATTCTGCTGAAAATTATCCAAAACCGACTGGAACAGCACATCAACAGAGTACCACCAGATGGGCAGGTTGGGTTTAGAAGAGGTCGTGATACCAGGGATATTATAGCCAATGTTAAATGGATGTTGGCAGAAAGCAGAGAGTACCAGAGGAATGTCTATCTGTGCTGCTTCATTGACTATGCAAAGGCTTTTGACTGTGTG